GCTTGATTCTTATCGATTGCAGATCACAGACAATATAGAGGCTCGTGCACAGTGGCACGTCCCAGAGAATGGTCTGTGATCTGCAATCGATAAGAATCAAGCCAGCTTGACTTGCTTGTTGACATCTCTGGTATTTTGTGTTTGATAGCCCAACCGTAGCCTGTAAGAGCCCCAATAGATAGCACATGTAGACAGTACGAGCCTCGCGAACGAGCAGCCTCGATTGGAAAGTCGCGAAGATGATTACCAGACGTACGATCGATTGTCAAATCAAATTTTTCGCTGTCGCCTTGTAGTTATAATCCATGAGACGGCCTGCGAGGAAGCAGCCAAGAATTACGCCAGCGCCACCGGAAAGGAAGCAGAAGCTCACAGCCAAGGGGTTATAGGCGTATTCCTGACCGTATACAAGAGGTATCAGGCCTGAATGCAATACCATACCGCGTATGGAGATGCGGCCGACCAAAGCGTGAGGAAAGTATCTGCGTAAAAAATGAGGCGTATAGAAGAGAGCGGATTCGGGAAGCTCCATACGCCGACCCCAGTTTTGCCTTGATTGATGTCGCCAGTAACACCTGAATGAGCCTCAACATCTGGTTCATGTGATTTTGAGTTCTTCAGGTATGACCACCATGTTTTCGACAAGCCATGTGCACACACTGCACCGTTCCCGACAATAGCTCTTGCAGTCTCCGGCATGGTCCACCCGATCATCATGAGCGAAGATAGATCGAAAATTACTAGAGTCCAAAAACACCACTGTGTCTGTCAAGTAGCCAAAACAATTCCACCTCCTATAACAGGACCGAGACAAGGTCCAAAGTTCGTTGAAGCAAGCATTGGCCCAAGAATCTTGCCTCGCTCTGCAGGGAGGGAAACATCTGCCACAACTGCATAAGCAAGCGACATGACGGCCGAGCCGCCAATACTCTGGATTGACCGAAGAACTGTTAGAGCAGCGTAGCTATGTTTGTTGAGGGCGAGTCCAAGGCTTGCTGCACAATAGATGGCGAAAGTAATTAGGAAGACGGGGCGGCAACCAAGGGAATCGGACATGGGGCCAAAGAAGGCTGGCGAAAGCGCCTGAAACACGAGATAGAGCGTTATAGTGAGATCGATATCGAAAATAGATGCATTGTACTGCTTGCTCAAATCCTCGATCAAAGGCAAGTATATCGTTGCTGTCAAGGATGAAGCGAGCGTCAAGTAGCCGAGAAGGTATGTGAAATATATCTGTCGACGACGACTGAACACTGTAAAAGGTGTAAGTGATTGCTCTGATGTTTCGGCAATCTCTAATCCCTTGTCATTCGACATTATAAGGTGGTTTGGTAACAACTGATCAATGTCAATAGTGACCTCATCAGAGCTAGGCGCTACGGTTGAGGTCCGTGCGTGCTGTGCCACACATGTGCCTGCCAGGTCACGACGCAGAGTAAGCCTCAATCACAGCGCGTATGAAGTAACAGTAGTTAATTCAATCCAAGAAAATACATACCTTTGCCAGCTGAGCAGTATTCTCATATTCCCGTGTCGCAAACAGAGACAACTAGTTGTCATCAGACCTTGCTTGACGGGCTTGCTTTTGAATCCACCGAAGATAGTGGGCAAGCTGATTTTTGTGGGGTTAAAACACGACACAGAGAAACATGCAATTGCACATATTCAAGCATGATAAGTCAAGCTTTGTGTATGGGTATTATTGCTCACGCACTAGGGATAGAGTAAAGCGCGGAAGCACGGCTACTCAATAACTACTAGCATGATACGGCAATGTGCCAAACATGGCGCTTCGAGGACTCATTCTCCTCTTTCGCGGTGTAATGATACCCTCATCTGTCATATCCAGTCCTCGCTTGATCACAAATAGCTCTGCGCGTTTGACAAATATAATCTCGCCACTGTGACCAAGCTTCAAAACCAGGTCTCGGACAAGACTCACCCAGTCACTCGGTATGAAGAAGTGCCTTACAGCAGTAGCATTGGCTGTGCCAATGGGAAGGGATCGCACCCAATTATTGGTGTCCAGAAACACTAGTCGATCGTTGTCAATGCCGATTATTACATTGACGGCAGATGACAGGGTACCGAGGTTTTGTATGCAGCCTACTTCTTGTGCATGGGTGTTGAAGTCGCTAAAATCGTAGATGGAGATGGTGTTTTGCGAAGATTGCGTTCTCGTGGGGTCGATTAGAACAGCGGCAAAGTAACGGGGATGGCGAAGCGGACGAATGTGATCTATGGCCATGAAAGGCTCGACCATGTTCGCGAAAGACACCATATGCAACACTTCGAAGGTCGACCAAAGATATATCTTAGCAGATGTAGCTGATACCCAAAGAAGTAGTTCTGTGCTGATACCGTGCTGTACCCACTGGCCTTTGCTTTCAAGTTTTATTCGTTGCAGTAAGATATCATCAGAATCCGGTGATCTCGACCAGAGATACGTTTTTTCATCCGTGGCAGCCAGATAACGCGAAAATTTTGCACTTGAGAGTAGCCCGGTAACACCTTGGCCCACTACCAAATCGACTAGAGGCTCGGCTGTAGCCCAGTTCTTCCGTCCGTTTCTCTTCACATGCCTAATCGTGACTCTACTACCTGCGTCGCTGCAGGCCAGCATTGTACTCTCCACGTTGAAATGCAGTAACATGATAGGGACACCGGTAGTTTGGATAAAAAGCTGGGTACCCTGAGGTTCGCGGGAGATGTCGTAAATATGTACTAAACCATCTTCCTTGCCACAAAACACGAAAAATTCTGACATGATACACTCGATGGCAGTGATGTGGATGGACATGGAACCTCGAAAACTAACCTCACGTGGTACAGTCGATACCGAAACAGTGTCGCTATCCTCGTCGTCCAGATCTTGGCGTAACAACACTGCAGGGTCCCATAGACGGCATTGGTTAGCACGTATATCGATTAGTCGGTGATTATCCGAGGTGAAAGCGAGCGTCCTTGGCGCTATGGCGTCGCCTTCGAATTCAAGGCGATATAGTAGTTTCCCCGTCTCCAGGTCGTATAGTTGAATGGTACCCAGAGAATCTACACATGCTAATGTGCGATCGTCGGAAGAGCAAGAGAGCTTCTGAGCATTTACGCCAACTAGTATATCCCGAACAGTACCGTGGATGGTATCGTAAATAACGAGGTCCCCATCAGAATAGGCCGCAGCGAGTAGAGTATCGTCTCCTAGGGTGCTGAACTGAAGGCTCCAGACAGTCGTACTCCCATCAGAGATCTTCAGCGGCCCATGTAAATTGGAGCCTGTTTCTTTCTCATAGATGTCGTGCATGCGCTCTCTTTCATAGTCCCATAACAGTAGGTCTTCTCCTCGATACACAACAGCTAGCAAATTTTGTTGTTGACAGAACGCTGCCAAAGTGGGCTGCCGGGACTGCAAACCGGATTGGTCGTCGAAGTCAATCGTCCAATTTGTGAGGTTTTCAGGAGCACCGCCGTTCGCGAGATTCCAACACATGAGCCCATTACTCTTAGTGGCCGCAAATAACAATAAATCTTCTTCGCCGAATGTCAACGCGAGGCACATGACAGGAATGCGAAAATAGTGTACCTCAGTCCAGTTGGTAAGATCCCATACTCGGATGTATTTCGCCCCAGCGGAAGCACACGAGGATCCATATTGGCTGAATGATAGAGCCCGAACTGGCTCGCCGTGAAGCAACGTGTTCTGCTCCTGGCAAGTAACGTCGTCGTAGACTATGACTTTCCCGGTGAAAAATCCCATCCCGAAGAATTTCTGGGAAATGGCTACAGTCAGCGGACGATCAGGTTTCGTGTAGTTGAGTATCGATAAACAGTCCTGCCAGCCTTCTGAGCTTCGTCCAAAGACACTTAATCCCCGATGTGGCGACGAGAACTGCCTACTTGGTGCAGAATCAATAGGGCAGAACGGCGGTATCAGTCGATGTATCGAGGAAGGTGAGAATGAAAGCTCCTTTCCAAATTTGGTGACCAAGTGAATGAGATCATTTCCCCAGCTATGCAAGAGTGTGAGCTCTTTTCGCAACTCCACCAGTGGACTGTGTTGCGCCAAACGACCTAGAAGGTTATTTATAGTTTTCCCAGCCTGGAAAACCTTGTCTAATTCGCCTTTCCTGGCAAGATGTTCGATCCATTTGAGGACAGATTCGGAGCCCATGAACTTGGACAATGCTTCTAGTACCTCGCTATCACTTGAACTTACGTGGAAAATGTGTTGAAACACATAATCACACGCGTAATCCATGAGCCGCGGTTTTTCTTAGGACTGAACAACACTCAGCTTCCGAGCATGTGTCGCTCGTACCGGACTACGTGTCAGATAGCGGAGGCAGACGAGAGCCAGACGTCTATGAGCATCCGCGCGGTCGATCTGGAATTCGGATCGCATGCCTTGTCTTGTGAGGAAGTCTCTGACAGTAAGGTGGAGCAATTGGACCTTCTTACTCCGATCTACATAGACGAGATTGCCGCAACATGTGCTAATAGATCGTTCGATGTCATCAATCGCGTCATTGAGATCGAGCTCTATCGCGCAATGCAATTCGTCCGTAGACAAAAACCGGAATGAGAATGTCGTCCAAGTCAGTATAGCTTTCGCGAGGTCCTTGCCAAACCGCGCGTTCGCCATATCATTGAGGATACGGCCGTATAACTCATCCATATCGGCCGTATTACTCAAGAGGGCCTTCCGAATTTCAGTTGAAGTATGAACCTGACGAAGCTCCTTGACTACTAGCGTCACCCAGAGGAAGCATCCGTTGGCATTCCGGAGTATTTTCATCGACATCGCCTTGCGTTCTTTCGAGCTTGCCGCAGGAAGGTGGTCTTCATATGAGCGCAGATACTGCGAGATGTCTCGATTGGTATCTTCTAACTCGATAGCCTCTGAGATGACTTCAGCCCTTTGAACGGTGGCGTCAGCGTATCGATCAAACGGATCTCTCGACAAGATAAGCAAACAGACTGGCCAGACGTCCTGTATCTTTGCCAACAGATTTACGAGCTCTGAGCCTTCTTTTCACTCGTCTATGGCATCGATGACCCAGTATTGCGGTCTATCCAGACGGCATTTGAAGAGCTCACTCAAGAAAAGCCGACGCCATAATGTAACATGATCACTCTTATTAATTGAGGTAGAACGGGAACTTGTCGACATCTCTAGAATGGTGCTCAACAGGTGGGAGTGCTGTTTTGCCATCTGCCAGGCCATCGAACGGAGGAAAGCGTTGATCGTAGCTTTTGTCTTGTCTCCGCGGACGAAAAAGTAGAAAGAGCAATCAAGACCTAGTTCCCTCAGATGATGAACAACGTGAGCTGAGAGGACACTTTTCCCTGCACCAGGTCGACCACGTATCCAGAGCGTCTTCGAAATCGCTGCGTTTTTCTACTGATTGAATTTTTCACGCTCAAGGAACCACGTGCAAGTTTCGGATAGTCTAAGAGACTGGCTCTCTAGCTCGTCATCAGGAAGTTCAGTTATCCCTAAAAACGAGTTGAGAGTTTCGAGCTGCTCATATCCCACTCTTTGGCTTGATGTTTGTTTTGATGCTCTTTTGCTCGCTATTGTGGTGGCTAACGCGTTCCTGATGGCTAAATAGGAGGGATCCGTTTGGACTGAGAACTTTGCCACATTGCGGTGGTTTGCGTTCAGATAGTTCTTTCGCTCGTTGGGGTAATTCATTACTGCGCAATGCTTTTCCACGATCAGTTGGGTTCCTATGCCGATTTTCGTTGGCTCATTTTCGTAGAACGAGAAAAGTTTCAAATCGTTGCTGTATAATGGGAAGTCCTCGTTGATGGACTGGAGCACTGGCGATTCAGGCGAAAGATCTTGAACAAACGGGCGTGAGCCCGGAGCTAACGCCAGAAGCCTACCCAGAGTATCCGCTATTCCAGCTCCTTGGTGCGGTGTGGCTAAGAAGAAGATGGCGAATATGTTGCGGGCCACATCTTCAAACTCCTTCGTTTGATGACCGAGAATGTAGGCTTTCTTAACTACCAGGCCACCCATGCTGTGCCCGAGTAGGATCATTGGTACCTATTACGGTCAGAGTGGTACATAATCATATGCCAAGCAATACTCACGTGATCTTTGGATGATATAGTTGGGGAGTCATGTATTGAGGCTAGCAAAGACCGCGCAAAATCGGGAACGTGAAGAACGGACTCGCGGCTTAATCCCGATGCGTAGCCAAACGTATGGATTCTGACATCTCGAAATGCTTCGTCGTTCGGTAACCACGCCGAAGGCCAGAACAGTGAAGGGTTTCCGTTCTTCGTCCATGTACTTTCTGATCCACCATTCAGACCATGGACGAAGATTAAATCAGCCACTGCATCTTCTCCGGGATTATGGAGGGTAATGAGGCCAATGGAACCCTTAGGGTACTCAATGCTGTCGCCGGGACGGCCAGTTTCTCTTTTGGTGAAATTCCTTGAAAAGAACGAGCCGCTAGATGCAGCTGAAGCAACTGGCCCTCGGTGGTGCGAATTCGATTGCATCGTTCTGTTATGCGACTACCCCGCCATACGCGACACCGCATCTGTAGATGCGAAAGGTCGGTTCTTAAGAAGTACCACCAAAGTCTCCCGTATATGAGGCTGCGACGTGTACAATGACCTGGGATAGAAAGCAACTCTAGGCTTTGATCTAGATGGTATGTCTGGAATAGAACACACGACTACTGTCGTAGAGCCTTGCATCGATGTGCGCGTCGGCGGAAGCCAGGCATACGGCCCCATGCACTCTGAAGGATTCGAGATGGGGTGGGGCGAGCAAGGGAAATATCACCCGCTCAGATAAGCAGCTGCCACTGCACTTTGGTTTGACTTAATTTGATGAAGCAATAGGCGTTTTGAATTCCCTCAAAAATGCTACTCCATAACTGACCGCTCACTGTTTGCTCTAGTAAGTGCATTAAAAACAAAGGTCTACTTTCCGAATTCTCAACGAATGTTGTTCTCCACAACTCTGTATCAGGCTGAGGATGTGGTTCATATATGCGGGGGCCACATTGGGCGCTTAAGCTGTGCCGCAATGCTCGCCACTCTGATTGGCCGCATATCGTCAACCTTACGGTTTGTAGCCTTGTATAAGTAGGTGATCCACTGTCATCACTGTCCTCTTATCTTTTAGTCCTTCAAACTGCATGCAAAACTCAAGATGACAGACTCTTCAATTTGGAACGAGGAGGTTGCTGTACCTAAGACGTTGATCTCGTACGTCGATCCTGGTGTTGAAGCAAGTAAGTGAAACGTTTGACACAGCCCATGAAGACTACAAGAATGAGGCAGACACCTACTTCTTCTTGTGCGCGTTCCATGACATGACAAACGAGGTTCCCGAAGTCTCCGATTTCCCCGCTTTGGTCGCAAAACTCCACAAGAAAGGAGTGTCGCCATCTGGAAAATTTGGATTCCCAGTCTCAACATACCAGGGACGCCTTCAGCAGGATACTACAGAATGCGACACCTGGGAAGAAAGCTTTTCGCGAGGTATACGACGGTTCTTCGAGCTTGGAGAAGACTCGCAGGGCTACGAGCAAGAAATGGCAGAACTACGCGAGGCGATCATGGAAAAGGTAATCCCAAGGTTATTGCATCCACTCGAGACAGAAGGCAGGAGTATCTTTCCTTGTCTGATGCATGGCGATCTTTGGGATGGCAATACATCCGTTGATGCTGCCATGGGTAGTCCGGTGATATTCGACGCCTGCTCTTCGTACGCTCACCACGAATGTAAGTCTCAAGTCAAAGATGTAATCTTTCCAAGCTGACCACAAGTGTGCGGCATAGACGAATTAGCACCGTGGAGACCGACACGCCACGTTTATGCACTGACAGGAGGACGATGTGCTCGCATCAATTATCCATCTTCGACCTTCACACCATTAGCAGTAATCTCCCCCCAAAACCCAAACCACCATACCTGAAATTGCACTTCGGACACTTGAAAAATATAGTAGTCCCCTCATCCGCTCCACGCAACTGCATGGTCGTAAACAGCATCTCAGGATTACCGCACTTGGAACAGGCCTGAAGAATCTCGGCCCACGTCTCTATGTCGCCCTCTTCGATGGTCTGGATTTCGCTGTGCTTCTGTCCAAGGGCAGAGGGAAAGGCGTCTGGCTTGGATGTTGTTTGTACTGATGTGGGCCATTTGTCTGTGGGAGTTTGTTAGTATGTGGGTTACGGGTTGAGCTTGAGTAGTGTGTACTTGGATTTGGCGCGTCGCAGATTTGGCATATGATGGTCTTTGTTGCGGAAGGCGAAGGGTATTCTAATAGATTCCCGCAGTCTGTGCAGAAGAGGAGGGTTCCAACTAGGGCCATGATGGATATTTTCGGTTTGAGTTTCTGAGGTACAGAGAGATTTGTTTTGGAAGACAGGAAATGGTGGTCACTGTCGCAGGGTCCGTGCGCAACTGCTGCCTGATGTACCAGGCAATGACCAGACTAACACATGCAGTGCGAGCGTTTGCTCTATGGTTCATAGAGCCGTGCCAAGTCATGTGGGCGTGGTTGTAAGCGGCGGTACGGGACCTCGAACAGGGTCTTGGTCAACCGTGGGACAGGATGGCAATGAACCAGTCGTTGGGGTTGATAGCTAGCGATATACGTGATAACATGTCATGTTATGCATCGTGGACAGCAATAGCATCACTTTCCGCTTCTAATAAGATGACCTGTACTAAATATAGCTCATAGTAGCAGGTGAATGTTGCGTGCAGAGGATATTGAAATTAAGAGAAGACATTTCGGCTGTTGGATTCATAGCGTGAAGACATACACATGTCGCAAGAGCTCTCCTATGACGTATCTTGCATCAGCCGGAAGACGACAATGCGGTGAGGTTGGCAATGTCACGTGTTCGTCTCTCACCGTATCCGCCATGACCAACATGTGCTACCAAGATGTCAACATAATGCTGACCAGGAAGACCCTCGTTCCGTCAGCGCCACAAAGCAGATCACCCGAGGCGAGAATCAACAGCCAAGTGCAGAATTTACCAGAAGGGGTATGTTGAGATCTGAAACTGCACGTTTTGGCGAGATTGTGGTTCGCTTGGGCGAAGCGGAACCAAAGTGTGTTGCGGAACCCGAGGGCGGGACCAGCGGGGTTTGTTGGGCTGCCGGCTATCTAGACTGCATGTGGGGTTTAAGTACTGTAAGACTATAAGATGCGTTGTGCTTGTTCCCTGGTTTCTCGTCTTTTACATGAAGAAGTCGACAAGGAAAGAAAGGAGGTATGCTTTCACTAACGAAGCTAAGATTAGGTCGAGCTTGCCTGCGCCACAAACTGCGTGTCCGACACCCGTCCTTTTGAAACTGCTGGGACTGGAGATGACAACGCAACGTGTCGCTGCCAGGTTAGCGTTGGTGGAAGTCGATGGCTTGCACGACTCCAGGGCTAGACGCAAGCATGTGCAAATAAGTTGATGATTGGCGCAGGGGTGGCTTTGCGCCTCAAATAATGACGCCACAACCTGGCCCAGAGAATCTACATTTGGACGGCACGTGTCGCACGCACGTACAGCGAGCCGTCGTAGCTGCCACTCTACTACATGTATGTGCGCCTGGGCAGCAGTTGCATCTTTTTCTAGCTTGCACATGTATGTTGTTTAGTGTCCATGTCTTTGGCTAGCACTTGACGGTGACCTGGACACGCGCACCTCCGCGGCCAAATCGAGACAGGAGAGGTTCAATGCCCGAACAGCAGCGCCGCTCATGGCACCAGCCTGAAGTCCCCAATCTCTCCCCGGATTCATATACCGCACAGCGACTGGTATGATTTATTGCAGCTACATGACATGTCAGGTACTAAGAATTGCAGCAACATGCGACACCTGAACATTTACACCTCACGTCGAGGCGCTACTTCATCGGTCCTATCCCGGTATGCTTCCCAATGTGTCTCTCAGGCCAGCGCTGACTGAATATCTATAGACTGCATGGCTGAGCAAACGTCGACATGACTGGTACAAACACCATCTACGAATCAATTACTCATCGCGCGCCGCGACCTTCTCCTCAGACCCGCGTGAGGCGCGCCAACGCCAGCTGAGCGGCCAGGAAGGCCCCAGTTCGTCTGCCCTCTTCCAACACAGCTTCCCCCAGCCCGAAGAACTCGAAGCAGAAGAAGAGGAAGGCGCGCAGGAATCCGAGGCTAGCGGCGCAAATGGCACGGCAGGTGCGACTGCGACAACACCCCCTGCTTTAGCGATACCTCGGGGCTCAGAGCAAAAGAGCCATGTCATAGTAGATACCGAAGAAGATGAGTTTGTCGACGCGCCATCCGAACCAGAGGATGAGGAAGATCAAGAGGACGAGAGCCATGCAAACGGTGCCAACACGGAACAGAGGACCCTTCGATCAAGTAACAAGTCATTTGTCACCGCATCCTCTACACCCATTACAGATGGAGACGACTCCGAACGGGCACAGGCGAATGGATTACAGCTCCCTCCAAGCCAAGATGAGCCAGGAGCCAAGGCTCTCGGAAAACGACCGTTGTCCAACGTCGAAAGCTTTGGTGCTGCTGCATCGACTACCGGAGCCGCTTCTGTAGATGCTAACTCAACATCGTCTCTACTACATAAGGCTGACAGTAACAAGGCCCCGGCTCCCGCTGATGTCGATCCGACACCACCCGCGAAAAGCATACTGGCAAGGGTCAAGAAGAGGTCAGAGATTCGCTCAACTCCCTCGGGAGAGTTGAATGGAACAGATCCTGCGACGGGAGAGTTGACGCGCAAAAAGTCGAAGCTACAGAATTTGGTCAAATTCGACATTCCTGAAGACTCTAGGCTGGCTAACATCCAACTCAAAGCAAAGAAAGCGCAGATGACCGTTCAGAGAGCAGGCAGCAAGGTTCGGAGGCAAAAGATAAAGGACGGGCTTGTCGTGAAGATGGAGCGAATGCTCGTCCGAGTCGATGCTGCAGCAGAGGTTCCAGAAGATTTTGATGAGAACGTCAATCAACGAGTTGTGTCTCGCGTCAAAGACAAGTGGCGGGAGTATATGGTGGTTTGCCGGCATAGTCACGTTAACGACGCCGACTTTGTGCTGCAATTTTACCAGACTAGGGTGAGCTTCAGACACTGCCAGCAGACTTGCAGCGCTAACTTCCTTGACAGGTCATTCCGGAAATTGAACATGCCGGTGCAAGCAAGAAGGCTGCATATACAATTCCACTGGGCCGGAAAACTAGCAAAGTCAACCTTTATTCGTCGCTGGACAAGTCTATAGTCGTTTCGTCGCCCGGGTCACGGGAAACCCTGATATTCATCATGCAGGCCCGAACCGCCTCCAATGCCGTCGAGTGGTATACCTTTCTTAGAAATGTCCTCGGCTGGCTGCGCGCCTCTGAGCTCCAAATCAACATACCAGACATGAGCCTTAGCGTACGAATAGTCAACCCGTTCGAGAAACTGGAGGCGTCCCAAAATGCAGTGCACAAGGCGGCAAACGCCGAAGAGGCTGTACTGAGGACAATGCATGAGGAACAGGCTGTTGCGGAGGACTTGATCAGACGCTGCTTGGATCAATTACAAGACTCGCCAGAATGGCGGGACGTGTTAGACTCGTGGATCAAGGACCAGCGCATAGGTCTGGCTTGGAAGCGATACGATCGGCTCGAATGGATACATGGAGCAAACGAACGAAAGATGTACGGCACCATAGCCATGCTCAAGTCGCACGAACTGGAACTGCGACCAAAGACACATTATCCTACAACAGCGATAACGAAGAAGAAGCGTAAGACGCTAACAGAGCCGGTTCCTGTGGAGGGCTTCCTGATTAGACTGACGGGCCAGCGAGGGAGGGCAAAGCGGCTAGGACTCATGTACCACAAGCAGTTGTACTTTGCCAGCCATGATCAGTTCCTGGTCTTTTCACGTCCCACCAAGGTCACTCCACCCCCACCACCGAAACTGCCTGCCTCGGAAAATGCCGCGGTGCCGACAGCTCAGGCCGTCAAAGACGCAGTGCCGGACAGCTGGGCTGTCAACCCGTATGGGCTACAAGATGGCGAAATCGAGTGGCTGGTGGATGGTCAATCAAGCACGCCCGAGGCCAGACGACTGCGCGATGAGGATGCAGCGGATGAAGCGGCGCGCAAAGAACAGAATCTGCTCAACTGCGACGGATACATCAACTTGGCCGACGTGGTCAAGGTTCGTAAAGCCCGACTAGGTGCTAGCCCCGCTGATGCGGACCTCGAAGACGGTTCGGACGTAGACTTTGATGAAGATGTCGATGACTCGATGAGTAATGACGGTGCTACAAACGAGGTCGATATCAACCGCAGTCTTGAGCTGGTGATGAAGAACGGCCTCATCATTCGTCTACAGGCCGCTAACAAAGCCCGCCGAAAGGAATGGATACAACATCTACGAGCGCTTGCAAAGTACTGGAAGCACCGTACTGCAGCTGACATTGTACTCTACAAGTCCACGCGTGAACGCAACCTCAGCGCCCTTAAGATTGACGAAGAAACAGAAGCTCATGTTGGTCAATTCGCTCGCAAGTGGGAAGTGACACAGTCTTTTGCATCCCCACAGCTCTACAACATGTGTGGCATCGGTGGGTGCCGTAGTGTTCATATGAGTGGGATGCTCTACCGCAAGCCACGCATCCACGCTCCCTTCACGCGTTGCAGCGTCATACTCACCGCCGGAACATTACTCATCTTCCGCGATGTGTTGCGAAATAGGGTCGGAAAACAACTCGCAAACATCCACCATGAGCGCATCGCAAACTTGGATCTCAAAGACTGCTACATCTACTCGGGTCTGCTTACAGAGAGTGATCTCCTCTACCAGAACCAAACCTTCGATGCCAACAAGCCAGGCCACCACGCTCTGCCACGCATCTATCTGGAGGATGGTTGGACGTCTACAGACGAGGATGTCATGACGACATTTGTCATCTGGCACGGTAAAGCCAAGAGCTGGTTCCGCGCAGAAGAAGGCGCTGGTGGTGGCGAACAAAATCGCAAGGAGGGCAAGCGGACGAAATTGAAGCGCGTCGCTAAGTTGGGCAGCAAGGGTCGTAGTGTGGTCTTTCGGGCTCGGTCGCGTGCAGAGCGTGATCACTGGGTGTTGGCGATTCAAACAGAGATTGAAAGGATACAGGGAGATGATGGTAATCCGGATTTCAGGTTCGAGGAAAGTGGTAATGCTAAATAGAGTAATGCTGGGGTTTGATGAAGGCTGGGTTGTCTCGCGCTAGGTTTTCACACTGTATATCTTAGTTATTCATTAAGAGCTGAGTATGTGTTTCTTCTCAGTCACTTCACAAGAACAGTGAGATGATTGGCTACTATATCTTGCATACATAAATATCTTTGATACCCTAGGGTAGTAATTGAATGTTACAGCGTATGGTGTGTTTTACTTGATTGTTCAGGGGGTTGAAGAGTTCAGATGAAGGAACCCGTCACGTGACATGCACCTCTAGCATACACGTCTTGTCATACTGTGCCTCTATTGCCACAATTGATAGCACATTCAATAGAACATGTGCTAAATAGGATGCTCATAAACTCGCGTTCTCGCATTCACTGCTGCCACGCGATTGCGCTCCTGCCCTCCTGTCCATCAGGCAACACAAGCCTTGGCATTATCAGAAATTACGCTAAGCAAACACGCCACCCACAAAGAGATAAAAACAACAGACCCCGCCTCTCGTCTTCTTCTTCCTCGACACCAGCGCTCCACACTCGTTCAACTCCAGTCAACGCAACCCGCTCGTCAACCCCACTTCAAAGCAAGTCAAGTCAAGCTAAGCAGCCTCAAGCTACACCTTTGATTACTGCCAAACACTCTCAAGCTCACAACCGAGAAAAAACAGCAGCAATGACTTTCTTCAAGTACCTTGTCGCCTCGACCGCGCTCTTCAATGTCGCGCTTTCGAGCACTTATTACTCGGCTGCGCCCCCGTGCGTCACGTCTGTGGAGACTGTGACTCACACTTCGATCGAGTTGACCTCTAACTCTTTTTGCAAGACGGTCACTACGGTGGTTACTCCCACGGTCACGGTCACTCTGCAGTCTCCCGGTGGTACTGAGGGCGCGTCCACGGCAGTGTCCTCTGCTGCCGACACGACTGATGTTGCCCCGACTACTTCGATCGGCTCCGTGTCCTCGACTTCGACCTCTGATTCCGGAAACATGACCATCTACCCCATTGGACCGCCTACCCCTGTGGAGCCCTCTGTGCCTATGGTAAGTATCCCCTCTTGAACTACTACTTACGAATGATCTGTTGACAAGCATTCAAGACTTCCAAGATTCAAGTTAGCATGATCGTTCCCACGTCGCACTTTCACATTATCACTGCCAATGGCACCGCCAACTCGACTGGCTTCCCATCGACGATCGTCAGCCCGACCATGTCAGTGCCTTACCCCTTGAACTCTACGACTGCAGCCCCGGCCACTAGCACCGGCGTCGCTAGCGCCAGTGAGTCTGCCAGTGCTTCCTACACTGTACCTCCCGAGTTCACTGCTGCCGCCGGTGCTGTCAACATGGCCACTGCTGCTCTCTTCGGCGGTGCCCTCATGGCTGTCTTCGGCATCTAGAGCTTCCAGCGCCCACACCATCTTATCGGGTACGTCCAATATGGGACTCCGGTGTGATCTTGTTTTTCAGGCTGGCGGATATCATACCAGGCGTTTTAGTTTCAGGTGATCTACGATTCGGCCTGATGATGCAGATATGCAGGTACATGTAGATAATGAGATTCGATTATAGCTCGATAATCAAGTTCATGATCCATGCTCTTCTTCTTTTGTCTTTCTTGTCCTTGCTTGATGATATCAATCTTGTCATATTCTTAGGGTTAAGCCTCTTCAGCATGTGAATTCACCTTGGTTGAGATGTGGTTGCGGAACGATGGGACGATGGATGACACGATACCCGAATTAGACTAGCGTTGTTTGCCCCACGGCGGCGGCGTGCCACACAGCCCGAGTGGGTAAATCTTTCAGTTGAGTCACTGCAACCTTTGACGCTTCTGCTCGGTCTCCGCTAACTACACGACGCATACTGCCGAGAGATACATCAACGGCCGCCCGCAAACCGTGCACGTCGACGAATTCTGCAAACTCCCGACAGGCGCGCGAGAACAATACGAAGCGACCCCTCCTTGACAGCTAGTCCAACGACTCCACCAAAAACCACATAGGAGAGAAGGAGCACATTCACACAACATGTCTCTAACAAATTGCCGGTTCTATGAGGAGAAGTACCCGGAGGTGGAGAGTTTTGTCATGGTCAATGTCAAACAAATTGCAGAGATGGGCGCATACGTCAAGCTGTTGGAATACGGTGGGTTTCGGGCATGAGGAGAGCATCAGGAATTTTGCTAATAAATGCAGACAACATCGACGGTATGATTCTGTTGTCAGAATTGTCGCGAAGACGTATTCGATCCATCCAGAAGCTCATCCGAGTTGGTCGCAACGAAGTCGTCGTCGTACTCCGTGTGGACAAGGACAAGGGCTACATTGATCTGTCAAAGCGCCGTGTGTCGCCTGAGGATATCGTAAAGTGCGAGGAGCGATACAACAAGTCCAAGATGGTGCACAGCATTATGCGCCACGTTGCCGAGAAGACACAGACGCCCATCGAGGACATCTACCAGAGCATCGGCTGGCCGCTGAACAAGAAGTACGGACACTCGATTGATGCTTTCAAGCTCAGCATTACCAACCCCGAGGTCTGGAATGATGTCACGTTCCCCAACGATGTGGTCAAGGACGAGCTGCAGAGCTACATTGGCAAGAGGCTGACACCGCAGCCCACCAAAGTGCGGTCGGACATTGAGGGTACGTGGGAGGATGAACTGATTTTGGATATCTTAACTAACAATCATAGTCACCTGCTTCGGTTACGAGGGTATCGACGCTGTCAAGACGGCCCTTCGATGCGCAGAGGCAAAGAACACACCCGACAACCAGGTCAAGGTCAAGCTCGTATCGCCGCCTCTTTACGGTATGACATTACAACAGATGATTCTTCTATCATTCACTAACTTGCACAGTCCTCACATCTCAATGTCTCGACAAGAACGCCGGTATCGCATGCCTCGAACAAGCCATCGTCGACATCAAGGAGAACATTTCAAAAGCAGGCGGCGACTGCCAGGTCAAGATGGCTCCCAAGGCCGTCACGGAGAACGATGACGCGGAGCTGGCCGCGCTCATGGAGAAGCGTGAGCGTGAGAACCAAGAAGTCAGCGGTGACGAGGACGAGAGCACGAGCGATGAGGGCGGTGTTGCCGAGGCCGACTAAGCAATTGATGTGTTTTGTATGAGAGATGATGATGACAACGGGCCTTGGTCAAAAGTGGCATCCGGCATCCGGCGTTGAGGCGTCGACACAACGGAATTGAATGTTAAGTCAATTCGACATGTACAGCATCCAGACAGGCCGGCACCCATTCCAGCTTAGATGAGGATAGTTGAGAAGAAGAAAAAGCCGCTTCCGATGGGCTAATTAAGAATATATTCCCATCTTGCCTTGTTCATGTAGTGATGCCGGATGGTGTTGAGTGGGAAAGAGAAGCTAGGGCCGGCTCGCGTGGTACTGGCGCGGGAGATGCGCGCGATGCCGCTGGCGGAGTGGAGTCGATAGCTGTCAGCCAACACCAACACACTAGCAGGAAGAACCCTGCCGGTCCAAGCATTCCAGGATCCGGTTATCCTGTTCTTGTTCTTCGCAGCTGCTTTGTTCACTCTGCCGTTGCTAATTCTTGACCATTGCAGCGTGTTGCTGTACTTGTCTTGTTCATCGTTGCTCCTGAAGCTCGACGGTAGATCCGAAGCTCGATAAGTCCGCGCGGCTTCACAAAGCGCAAGCCGACCCACACCGCAACTATGGTGAGGTGGAGTGAGTTGTTTAATTCCGACGGCCACGATGGAAGGCACAGAGTGCACGATGAGATGAGCGCGCGTAGGAACCCTGTTCTGTCACCAGTCATGCATTCCTAGTACTGACATGTGCCAGTCTTGCCAACCTCGCGCCGCGAACACTATCTTCCGCCCCCACCTATCGACCCTAAAGATGTCACCATAGTAGCGCTGCGATTGAAGCACCAGATCGAACAAGTCGTTCCGTGCGAGCTCGAGGAAGAGCACATCACCAAAGCGCATAGTCACATCATCACCCCGGCGGTGCTAGAGACGGCGAAGCAGGCAGGAGCTCCCGAGCACAATGCTTGTGTAGTGTTCTGCTTGTTGCAGGTCAAGAAGTGGTTTAAGAAACAGGCTACGGCCGAGCTATGGGACGCAGATCTTCATAATGTGCGCGCCGTGGCGGCAGAGATCATGGCGAAGCGCTTGATCGAAGCTGAGGAGGACACCGCCTATTTGTTTGAGGAGGTCCTACTCAAGCGCTATTCGACTCTGATAGACGGAGAGCCAACTACACCCGCTAACGCTGTAGAGAAAGCCGTCGACCTCCACGCCGTGACGGTAATCGGATCGTCCGGATACCAAAAGTGCATCAATTACTTATGGCGCGGTTGGATTGTCCAGGATGACGAAGACCCCAGCAGGTTCGTCACGTACGAGAACAAGACCAACACCAGCTATTGGGCGCATCTCGACCCTGATCGTATGCGCGTGCCGAAATATCAGAACTGGGTGCAAATTGCACTATCGCTCATCTACCTGGGTCTTTATACCGGCGCTATCAACACCATCAACCCCTCAGGTGATCTCGATGTTGTCGAGGGTCTGCTGTACCTCTTTACCCTAGGCTTCATCTGCGACGAGGTGAACAAGTTCTGGAAGGTCGGACGCTACTACTTGTCTTTCTGGAATATGTTCAACAGCACCCTGTATGCGCTGCTCACCGTCTCCTTTGTGTTGCGCATGGTAGCTCTAGGACATCCCGTCAGTGATGAAAAGGACACGAGACGCACGACCCTGAACAAGATGAGCTATGATTTCCTGGCCTTTACTGCGCCCATGTTCTGGATGCGTCTTCTTTTGTACCTTGACACTTTCCGCTTCTTCGGCGCCATGCTTGTGGTACTCAAAGTTATGATGCGCGAGTCGCTCATTTTCTTCGCGCTACTACTAGTTGTCATGGTTGGCTTTTTCCAAGCTTTCATCGGTCTGGATATTGCAGACGACCAGCTCGCAAACGACACCTGGTTCGTCATCCAAGCCATGCTCAACGCCGTCATGCAGTCCCCCGAATTTGAAGGTTTCGACAACTTCTCCGTACGTATCCAACGTCTCCCATCACCATCCCACACCACACACTAACCACGATAAACTGCAGCCCCCCTTTGGAATAATCCTCTACTACATCTTCACATTCGTAGTAATGGTAATCCTGCTCAACATCCTCATCGCCCTCTACAACTCGGCCTACGAAGACATTACCGAAAACGCAATCGACGAATACATGGCGCTCTTCTCGCAAAAAACCATGCAATTCGTCCGCGCACCCGACGAAAACGTCTTCATCGCCCCGTTCAACCTCATCGAAATGGTCTTCCTCATACTGCCGTTTGAATGGTGGATGGACTCTGCCCGCTACGATAAACTAAACGACATGGTCATGGCGGTTATTTACTCCCCGCTCCTCCTCGTTACCGCCCTGCTTGAGCAGCAGGAAGCTTGGGTTGTGAAAGAGAATCGGCGCCGCGGCGAGGACGACGAGGATACCACCATGGAATGGGAACAGGTTCTTGAAGGGTGTGATTTTGAGGCTGATGGTTGGGATAAGAAGGTCAAGGCTTCGAGGCCGAATGTGGAGTTTGATACTGCCGTGCTGGAGGTCAGGGAGTTGAGGAAGGAGGTTAGGGAGTTGAAGGATATGATGAGGAATTTGATCGAGGGGAAGAGTGGGGCGTGGGGTGAGGATACGCTTGGGGATACGTTGGGGGCGAGTGGGTTGGCCAAGTTGGATGCGAGCAAGTTGGGTATGCAACAAGGGGAGTCGAGTGAATCTGGGGGAAGGGACGAGTAAGTGTGTTTTTTTGTCCTCCCCTCTATTTCTTTTTAGATGAAATGGATTGGTTTTCTGACGTTTTTTTTCGGTGTGGCTTGTAGGCGCTATAGGAGTGAGTTTGGCGAGAGTAATGCTAGTGATTGGCATTCGGATTAAGATTAAGATCAAGATGGCGCGCGGTGCGGTAAGGTGGATGTTTGTGTGAGAGGTACGTATATACAGTTCTATACGAGAGATGCTTATTTGTGCTTGTCTTGGTCGTGGTGGTGTAGTGGTGGTGTGTGGTGGGATTTCGTATACGAGACTGCAGGTCAGAAAGTAAAGACAGGACAGCAGTGGTAGGGGTAGAGGGGGGCAGGTGTTGGTTATCGTTATCGTTATATACTCCAAACGAATCTTTTTTTTTCTTTTTTCGTAACTACAGACTAAAGATGCTGGAAACGGAGGGTGTTGTTCTGGGGTGAAGGAGAGAAAGGTAGGTAGGTGGAACTTGGTATCCTGTGCTTTTTCTGCGGACGTGTGGTGTAGATGGCTGGTTTGTATGGGGGTTTCGATGTTTTTGTAGGAGATGTAGACGATTTTTGAGGGTAGTAGTGTTGTGTAGTGGGTTGGATGTTATGGGGTGGTATGATAGGACTCTAATAATTAATCAGAGATTATCCGAAGACGTAAAATCCTGATATAATCGCGATGACTACTAGACCTGTGAACGTCCACGTCGTCGAGCACAAGTGTAATACTCATCTCCACTGGCTTGTCAACATATCATCAAGCCTTGTATCGTTGAGCTTACCAGGAGCAACAGAGTTGGTGAAATCCAAATCGACCGCAGACCTTTTGTCCCGATAGTCGGGACGCGCGTTCTTTTTACACGGCCAACTTTAGAGATGACCGTCTGCTTGCCTTCGAACACCAAACGGTGCTGATGCTCCGCATACAAAACTCCCTCCCATGTTACGCTTAGACTCTTCTTTACAATCCTTTGCCATTTCGTCCATCCCTTAGCCTGCGCACGCTGTACAAGTTAGCATAATACACACACCCGCTCCTTCAGTGCTAGACACGTACCCAATCGCAAATCGGTTTCCAAGATGACGAGCACCTCTTGAGCCGGCTTATTTTCGTCCCATTGATCGGTAGAATGAGTCGAAATGAGTATGTCGCCTCTTTTTCGATTGCTGCAATCACTACATTGCGCTAAACCAGGCGGACTCTGTTTCGGGTTTGAATGTTGGTGTGTTGGCATCTGCTCGGCCAGGGTGCCTGTGAGGCACAGGTAGCCGAGTGCCAACAGCGGTCGGACGGCATCAGCTGAACATGAAAAGCCACGGCTCTATCACTCCGTGAGGCTGAATCCGTATTCTGTGCGGCCTCCCAATGCAAGCCGGCTGTGTGCTATCCGTCTGCGCGTTTGTAAGAAAAGGATTTAGTGAAGGACTACTCCGGGAGCTCAGAGTACCTACCTGACGCGGCCATGGGCTGAGCAGAGTGGTAGAGGCTCATGCGTCAGAGGCATTTAAGCCTTCCAGCCAATCAAATGCAAGTGTCTTAGATCACATTATCCCTGCGTACCGCAAATAGTAATGCGCCTCAGCTCAGGTACGAAACGCGGCAGACTTTCACTGCTGCACGAAGCAACACCAACACGGCCCCCACTTCTGTATAGCCGCTGTTTGAAACAGAGTAGCCTTACACTTTTTGCCTTGTGTGGCAAACAAAGAAAAGGTCCTTTTTGTTAATGCACCTTTGTTCCTGTACCCTCCTTGACCGATAAACACCATAGAGGCCGGTAACATCCTTTCGCAGTGATCGTCAAGACACGAGTCACCGGCCATACCGAAAGCTATAGAGCCGGAAACAAAGTGGCCGTCTTACAAAGCTGCTATTCATTGTTTCCACGGGAGTGTCTCGTCCCATAAAGGCATTGTTTGTGAGGCTGTTGCTTTCCATGACATAGGTATAAGACTCTCGGCAAGAATGGAGGAAAGCTACCATCACAAACCCACAGCTCTTGCTAGTACGCCAACAGATTGATTAAGTTTCTAGAGTTCATTTCATTTCATTTCATCTCATCGCATACTCCTGAAACGTTGAACACGAACACCGGACTTGAACTCTACCAATTTTATATAACAGACGCCATTATATCTATTGCAGATATGAGGTACATCATGTTCCCCCCTCGATAAAGCAGGTTTACTGATCATATCCTTTCTAGCCAGAACCCCGAGATTCTGAGGGGTATTGGAGCATGGGTCGAAGTCGACGGCAAACAGACCAACCCACCACAGGCCGATCCGTTCCTGACAAGCTCTCCGCAAACCAACCCGCGTCAGACAGGAGAAAGCGAGAGCAAACCCACCGAGTCCCCATTTGAAAGGTGGTCGTCCGAGAAGAATAGCGCGCAGCCCTGGAGTGCGTTGAACTACCGGGGGAAATCGACACACTGAGGGCTGGTGAGAGTGGAAATGGGTACGGAAGGGTGCGTTCGGGAGATGTTTGCCGTTTAAAAAGTTAGGGTGCATAGGTGTTTAGGTAGAGGTTGTTTTGGGGTTGGATAGATGCAGTAGGAGTAGGAGTAGTAGTATTGTATAATGTCAGTGCGACAGTAATACGATATACGAATTTGTGCAATACGAGATACGAGATACGAACAAGGATTCCGACGCTAGCTGCAGGTAAAACCGACACTTGTCAACTAGCCCTCTCTCTTTCCTTCTCAGAGAAACAGGACGATGTGATTGCGAAGATAGGAGTTCGTAGAAACTAGTTTTTTGCGGATTAGAAAGATGTCGGAAGCAGATGTGCGAATACTCCATCCTCATGTAGTTAACGATATGCGCAAGACGCAAAATTCCCCCGATCTAACAAAAACACACTTGTTAAATCCTCATACCTCCCTCACACCATCACTATCTCCATCACCATATCCCCCTACCCCCGGCAAACCAAGACTCCCGTTCACTATCCAGATATCCAGGCGCAGCAAGGTCCCCTCCCCACACCCATGCCTTATTTTAGTCAAGCGCGCTTACGCAGAATTGATCGACAAAGCTCAATGCCGTAGGTTCGGGACCCGAGTAATCAGGCTGCCGACGCGACCAACGAGGTTTTTGAGGCTGAGCGGTCGTGGTTGTAGGTATGGCATGCATATATTGAGAGAGGGGTTTTTTGTTCGCTGTTGGCTTTGGGACATTTTTTCTTAAAAAGATTGGAGTTTAGAATCTGTGTACTTCAGGCAAAAAGAAAGGAAGAACAGATACGACGTTGAGAAAGTCAGTTTGAGGGAGCAAGCTAATTGGGATTTGTGGTTGAGAGAGTTGGTATTGGGATTTTGAGGGTTCGGGTACGAGATAGAGGGAGAGAGATGACGGCTGCGCAGATGGTTACGTCTGAGGAGGTGCCGGCGCGGGATGGTGGTGTTGTGGATAATGGGGGAAGAGGTGGTGAAGGTATTTAACGATTTGGGTGTCCATTCTATCTGGGGAATGTTGCTAATCCAAGGGTATAGGAAACCATGCCTTCGTGTTGCAGGCGATACCCGAAGAACCACCCACGCAATATGAAGCTGTAAGCGAGCGAAATATCCAAGGTAAGCATTGCTTCCTTTCTTCTAGTAGATGAATGGCGCTAACCAGGTCCCAAGATATCCCCTCCTCAGTGCATACAGGAAATCACATACAAACACATGCGGAACCACATACCACCACCACGCCACCAACACCTACAGAATCCCACTCCGATCTCTACACCTCCGACGTCCCATCCTACACCCAAACGGCTTCAAACGGCGAACGCTCCGTAGACGTGCAAGTAGTGCGGCCCTCGAAAGCAACCTCAAGCCAAGATGGCTCGCCATCGTACCAGGCCTGTTCTAGCCAACTACCACAAGAACACACCGCGCGATCCGAAGCAGGTCCTGCGAGAAACAGCCAATCCAGCCAACCGCAGCAAAGCGAAGTTGTCAGTGTACATGAAGCTTCTTCACCAACACGAGCGGATATACCGCGTTTGGACAGGCCGATACATACCCGGTCTCTCAGTGATCCCACTGCATCCACACATGCGATTCTAGATTGCGTGCGCGTATGTAGTGTGTTGCAGGACCGGCCTGCTGTGTGGCTAGTGAAGCGGAAGAACATGGCGCTTTCAGCTTTGGCGGGTGCGGTGTTGACGAAAGAGGGATTACTCAAGGCGAAAGATATGCAACTGTGAGTTCGAAAAAACCTTGGTGCTTGCCATGCGAAAAGTTATTGACGATTTTTTTTGCTAGTATAACCATAGCCACAGGCCCCGGTACAAATCGCGAACCTACAGATCCTCTTTCGGGTGTTTTAGTCGGCTGCTACGACGTCGCAGATGGTATCATCTCCGGTCTTATTGCCGGGCCCGTGACACTGGGTAAACAAATCAGTCACCGGCACAGCACCGTCAACCCCGATGCCTCGTCTACCGGCAGCAGGGCCAAAGGCGTTGCCCGTGCGTCTGGTCGAGTCGCTCTAGGCACGGCCAAAGGACTCGGAAAAGTAGTAACGACAAGTCTCAAAAGCCCCTTGCTAATTATGGAGGGGGTTACACGCGGGTTCCACAATTTCCCCAAGACGTACGGCGAAGAGGTGCGGCAGTATGAGACGGTGACGGGCCTGCGGAGCGGACTGGTGGTCAGTGCGAAGAGCTTTGGGCACGGGATAGGGGATGGAATCAAGGATATTGTTGCAAAGCAGATCGATGGCGCGGAAAAGAATGGGGTTATTGGATTTGGGACGGGGCTGGCAACGGGGGTTGCGAATGTTGTGTGTAAGCCCACGGCTGGTAAGTCTGCACTCTGTGGATACATGTTCTTTTCGGACGAATAACTGACGTTGACATTAGGCGTTTCCGGACTTGTGAGCTACTCGTCCCTTGGTCTGTATAGATCTATACGGAAGATTGGCGCTTCGAAGAAGGAGGATCCGGCGGAGGAGGTGAGGAGTTTAGGTGAAGCAGAGTGTCGCGAACTGGGCGATGCGGATAGGTTGTTTATTGTGCGACGGTGGTGTCAGACCCAGATGCATGTTAATATAGATTAGACAGTTTTTGCGCGTATGTTGATGTTGTAATTGTCGTGAGACGAGTCGATAGTTCTATATTGCGGAAGTGGGGTAATAACACAAGGTTCGATGAGAAATGAGACGGTCCGCCCCTCCCCGCGTGCCGGTCCGACATGCGTGCTGACTGAATTCTTTAACCTCTTTTAAATCCCTAATCCTTACTCGTGGAAAGGAGATTTGGCGTTGTGCTTGTGATTTGCTTGCGTGACCAAGTAGTGACTTAGTTGCCATTTCTATATTCACGTTAGCTGTTGCCAGGAAATTAACAACACCTGTGATACTCACCACGACCGCCTGTGTGTCAAAATAGTTCTTCCAATTTTCGTCTTCTGCAAGTTCAACAACAACATCCCAGGGCCATTCCTCCGACTCTAGTTCAACTAGGGTAAAGTATTTGTGTAGTTGTTTGCTGTCTTTTTCCACGTACGAGCTGCCGTTGATGCTTGCCGCACGGTCGACTGTGAAAAGGCGGAAACGCAAGACATCCGGGGAACTGGCTATCGTGGGGCCGACAACTTCCATGTAGTACTTTAGAACCTCTTCTTCTTTGTCGGCGGGAACGCGCCATTCCATTGCCGCCACACTCGCAACATGTTCGATATCTTCTGGAGGCATTAGTCCGGCACCCCCTTCGACCGGACCTGACATCTTACCACTACCACCCTCACCTTCCCACTCTTCATCCTGCCATCGCTTCACCTCGCGATAGGTTCGGACGTCGAAGCGCGCCTCCTTGAGAGCTCCGGCGAGGACGTTATCAGGTGGACTGTAGGTTTTGTCTGCCATATCTTTGTTTGCTTGGTCGACATTGCTCACTTCGTAAATGGTCATGTATGGCCACGGCGAGTCGAGCTTGCCCACTGGCTCATTCTCCATGCCACTCGCCGTGACCTCGCAATGTATGCTGTGTGCAATATTTGGGTTGCGCATGCGTGGGACCCACTCCTCTTCGTACCATTTCGCAGCCTCCTTGTTGACGTTTGCCCAGCAGCACATGATGCCCGCCATGATGTTCTAACTTGGCAAGGGAGATATAGCGTGAGCGGGGGAATACCAGTAAGATGCTCGTATAGCGATGTATACACAATTGTGCGGCGTCGATGATCCTAGAAAGGAAGTTTAGGTTTGTGCCGAGGTTGTACACTGGATTTATGGAGGGAAAAGGAGTGCAGGTTGCAACTAATATGCAGCGTGACGCGGCAGGGTCCAACGCTACCTAGTAATGAAGCCTGAAGCATACTTCTCTGTGATATTTCTGACGAAAACGGTCCGACACGTAAGTATTTTGCTCGACCAGCCTGCCATGTTTGACGTTTGTGATAAAGCGGTATGCTTGCCGTGGCGCGACCAATGGAAGGAGAGGCGCAGTCTCGTGATTGGCCATATCAGCGTCCGACGGAAGGAGAGAAAATCCTTCACAGCGCGGCCTAGCTTGGATACAGTATAGACGATCGACAATCCCACACAAAGCCAGGGTTGCCCTGACTCGAAGAAGCGCGCGGTGCGCGTGGAGTGTCGTCCATGGCGGGGGCCGTTGCGAGTGACAGGTACGGCTGACACAACCTTGCATGGGGAATATTCAGAACTGCAATCAAAGACCCTTACACATCTGGTGGCGGAAATGGAAGATTCTGAGAGGCAGGCTAAGCTTCCCCAGAAGTGGCATCACGTGGCGTCTTGCCAAACCTTGAACACGTTGTTTGCACGAGTACCTCGTAACTCCGGCCCTAGCGCCGGGAAATGCCCGACGTCGCCCCCACTAAGCCCTGCCTAGGGGCTTTGATACCTCCACGGCTGTTCCACCGAGACACTTGCCGCTTATCATCCACCGCGTGCCACTTCAAAGTCCGGCTGAGTTGCGATGTTTTCTTCATCTAGTCATGTGCCTGCTCGGCGAGCAGAATCTGAGCCGTTTCTTCTCCTGGCCTCGCCCGACTACACACGCCTTCTTCCATATTGGAGCCAACGCCGGCTATGTGCACTCGCGTACCGCGCTTTAGAGGAACACACTCAGGGTCTGCTATTAACGGGATGAAAGAGCTCGGATTACGCCCATGCCAGATTGAAGAGATCACCAGCCGCTCGGTTGATCGTAGATCGCTGCGAGTAATTGGCCGATAGATCAGCATCATGCCTGGGGTCAGCTCGAACCGAGCAGTGTGGGATTTCGGCCACGACACGAGCTTCGGTCCCCGCCGTCCAGTGGATCGAGCCTGGCATATTAGTTTAACTTCTAGGTTATATGACCGTATGGAGAGGCCGACCGTATAAAGCCATCTGACGCTCAACAAGGCAGTATTCGCGAAGCGATTTTCAAGATTGATTAAGTGCATGGTCTGATTGAAATCTCTGAAGATCGATCTGGTGCTATTGATAGGGCCAATGGCAGACGGGGGAGATGAGATCGAGAGGGACTCCTACTCCTGGCGTCCCGACAACCCGTTTGTTGGTTCCAGACCTACGACCCATCGGCAGCAATCGTGATCCTGCGGCCCGCCACGAGGGTAATCAATCTTATCGTAAGGATATGAGGAAGTAGAGTAAACGACTGGTGCTAAGTCATGCAGAGGCGAGGCAGGTCTCTTTGCTCCCTACTACAATCGCGGGTACCTTTTCAACACATGGTTATGCTAGGAGTGTTGTTTATTATCCGGCCTTTGGACTGGAGACAACGCAGCGAGCGACCTAACGGTACTTTACGCACCACCGAATACAAATGTCAATATAGTTTCAGCTGTCCATGTGAACGAGAGGCTCACGCATTATTCCTTGGCAATACTGATGTGGTTGCAACTGTCTTGAAGTCGACAAGCTCATGTATCGCTTCTTGGCAATACTGTGGTAGCACGCTCTGTAGATTGAAGCAACAAAGGTCCCGTCTTTCCAATCAAGTACCTGGATATACTGAAGATCTGTTAAGACAACCCGCAGTATCGCACAGCTCAGCTGGCAGATCTGAGGCCCATCGCATGCAACACCAAATTCACAAGGTGGCGATCTGAAAATGAGTATATATACTCGGTCGCTCAAGACCAAACTTCGTCACTCCAACATACTTACTCTCATCAACTCAATATCAGCATCATCATGCTTTTCTTCTTCACAGTATTCATTTCTACCCTGTTCACAGGTGCCTACGGTATCGGAAGCGCGATACAAGGCACTGGAACCACTACTCGTCAGTGGTCATGCTGCAAGAACTCCTGCTCGTGGCCCGGTAAAGCCCTCGTCGATAAGCCAGTCTTGACCTGCGACGCGAGTGATAATCTTCTCGACAACTACAACAGACGTGATGGGTGCGATAGCGGAGGTGGATCGTTCGAGTGCTCAGACCTCAGCCCTTGGGCTGCGAGTAACGATCTAGCCTATGGCTTTGCAGCCGTCAATCTCGCAGCTTCGAACGAGAGTGCTTGGTGCTGCTCTTGCTACTCGTATGACTCCAATCCCTTATGTTAGAGCTAAAAACTAACATCTCCGCAGGCTGACGTTCACGTCCGGTCCCGTCAATGGCAAGAAGATGATCGTTCAAGTGACCAGCACAGGCGACGACCTCGGAGACGACCAATTCAACATCGCCATCCCAGGTGGCGGACAAGGCTCAACCAAGGGCTGTACCAAACAATATTCTAGCCAGGACATATGGGGCCAAGACTACGGCGGCGTCGCCCATCGCGATGACTGCGATGCCCTTCCCACCAACCTACAAGCTGGATGCTACTGGCGCTTCGACTGGTTCCGCGGCGCAGACAACCCAAGCATAACTTGGGAAAAGACAAAGTGTCCAGGCTCTCTATCTTCTGTATCTGGATGCCGACGTAACGACGACCCACTTCCAGGAAAGAACACGCCTACGCCTACTCCAACGACGTCTGCGCCCTTGTCTTCTGGTACCGTACAGCCAGGCGGCCAATGCGGCGGAAAATCTTACAAGGGACCTACACGCTGTGTGGGAGGTACCGTATGCACATACGTCGACGAGAACTCGTACTATTGTCTTGCGGATCCAGCCAGTACACGGACAACTCCTACAACGACGACAGCAGCTAGCGCTACGCCTACAATTGGTCTTCCCTACGACCAATGCGGAGGCAACGGCTGGACAGGACCTACAAGATGTAAGGATTCCGTATGTGTACGCGTCGATGAATGTAAGTAGTTACTTCGCTGGGTGCACAATTAGTCTTCCATGGACTAACGTGTAATGCAATAGGGTATTCTCAATGCCAGCCTCCCACCGCAACTCAGAAAACCTCCACTACCTCGCCACCACAAAACACACCCAAGCCAACGTCTACTACTCGTCCTGCACTGCCAACTCGCACGAGACGTACGACTACGACGAGGCCTTCTGCGCCGGCAGCTACAGGACCAGTCCAGCTGTACGATCAGTGTGGTGGACTAACTTGGCAGGGATCAACGGCGTGTGTTCAGGGCTTGTTGTGCATCAAGGTTGATGACTACTATTCGCAGTGCCAGAAGCCATCTTAGAGGACACGAAGTGGCTATTATATCGAATAAGCGCAATGGAAACTTGCTGGACGACCATCGGATAGATTGTATCGAGATCTGTACATGAGGGAATATCATTCACAGCTATATAGCATCCTACACCAACACAACGTTATCTCACACACATGCACGCACGTGACAAAGTAACAAAAAGAGCAAAACTTCCTACACACAACTATCAAAAAAGCCCCCCAAACATGCTTCCCTCACAACTTCGCCCTCCCAAACCCCTTCTCCACAGCCTCAACCCCCCTCTTCGCAACATCCTCATCCTGACTCGGCAACCCCGTACTACACCCAATCGCGCCCACAACAACGCCCCCCTCCATAATCGGCACACCCCCGCCAATCGTCATAAAGCGGCCCCCGTTACTGTGGTTAATGCCGTACGCAGGTCCGCCCGGCCACACATTCTCTTTGTAAACCGACGTTGGCACGCGGTGTCCTGCCGCGGTAAAGGCCTTGTCGATGGCCGTGTTGATGGACGTTATTTTTGCGCCTTCCATGCGCGCAAAGGCGAGGAGGTGGCACGACGCGTCTACGATGGCGATATTCATAGGGATTCCGATTTCGAGTGCGCGCTTTTCGGCGGCTGCGAGGGCGAGGCGCGCACCGGTTAGGGTGAGGGTTGGGGTGGATTTGGTGGACATTTTTGGTGGGTATAGGGGGGGATTGGCTGGGTTTTTGGAAGATTAGGAGGGAGTGTTGGATGTTTATGTAGTGGGTTGGAGTTGCGCGATGGAGATGGAGATGGATGTGCGTCGGGCGGATATTCAAGGGAGTAAGCTGGATGACGTAAGTAGTTAAGCGTGGAGATGGCAGATTGCGGAGTGCGGATCCGGGGTTGCTTATCACACTACATGTCTTGGACTTTGAGCGCCATTATTCAGATCGCGTAGTTAGATGAATCTTAGTATCTGGGGTTGGCTAATTGAATCTCATCATGCAGCTATTATGGTTGGTTACAACCAGATGTCCACAAATGTTTTGCTTCGCCATCTACATAGAGGAGAGATTCTGCCAATGCCAAAGTATGGAATGTAGGTTATGGCAATTTGTTTCTTCATGTCATATCTTTATACATGTCTTTGGGATGAGTTTCTGGTCTTTACTCATAGTCTTCTCTGTTTCTCTGTTGTAGGTACATGTCAAAGAGTCTCTGCATTGTCCATATCTATCTCAAATTCAGTATTTCTTGTCATTCCGGTTAATTTAGTGACTATCAGACTCTCTTTAATCTTTTGTGAAGCTCGTTGATTATGATAATTCTACCTATGCAGTTGATAATGACGGTGATACTCTAAACGCGAGGCCCTATACCCGCACCTTGAACCAAATATCAAAGATGGTTTGCATCGAATCTCGAGTTCTCCTGATAAAAGAACACGGAGAGAGGGCTGATGATGGAAATAGCCAATCTACAGCAATTCGCCACTGTACCGGCAAGTTTTCGTGCTTGGACTCTCTCTCTCACTTCAATATTCCACGCATAATCACCGCACAGTCCACAATCTGCGCAATCACTGAATGACCTTTCGCGACGGAACTGGAGTCATAATTGCTAGTACATCATCGCTTTGGCTTCTCTTCTACGTACTTTATTTTCGTTTACTACTACACCACTGCACCGTTATACCTGTACCACATGCTGCATTCCCTTCTAATCAATCTTTACACCACGCGTAAAGCGCCAGTAAGTATGTTGCAAGTGGTCCACAGTGCGACTATTTGGCTTCTATTCTCCCCACTTTGTCTACCCCTTCGTTTACCTTGTTCACCTCTTTGTTTACCTCTTTGTTCACCTTGTCGCTCACCCCTTCGTTTACCTTGTTCGCTTCTTCGTTTACCTCTTCGCTCACCTCGTCGCTCACCTCGTCGCTCACCTCTTCGCTCGCCTCTTCGCTCGCCTCTTCGTTCCCCTCTTCGTTTGCCGCTACACCACTGCGCTCTCCCCACTTTGTTTACCTCTTCGTTTACTACTTTGTTTACCACTACAGCACTACACCACATACTGCATTTCCTTCTAGTCAATACTTACACTACGTGCAAAGCACCAGCTACCTTCCCATCACCTACACCCAAGCACCGGGCTTCACCGCAGAGACGTTCAACCCTCCCGCAAGCTCCAGGATGTCCGACACCTCCAATGCGCTAGTCACACCACATACTGCAGACACCATGAGCACGTCATACATTCCTCCCATCGAACGAAACTGGGTGGACGAAACTGAACACTTCAACATGTTTGACGTGTACAGCGAGCTCCCAGACACAATATGCGGATGACACAGAGTTTGATCCTCGATACGGCTGGTACAACGACGCTGTGTCCATCGGCG